CCCCCCCCCCCAGTCTATTTTGCTGAAGAACTACAGCAGAAACCTAAGTCTCTCAAGATTCAAGCTACTGATTTTCTGGCATGTGATCCCTGAAAGAGTCCTAGAAACACAAATCAAGTGGCTTATTTTTGTTTAGTCTATTGCTCCGGGGTCTGTGACAGAATCAGCCTTCTTGAATCCTAGGCTCAAACACCTGAAGATTCTTCAACGCTAACTGTATTCCTTGTTCCATGAGGACAGCAACTTTATTGTTTGACCTATCATGTGACTTAGCACAGTGCCCACAGCACAGCAGGCACTCAATTGTAAGTGTCCAATATAAATCAAAGCATTTGAATATTATGAGATATCATTGACTTCATTTAGCTATAGCTAACAAAAGTCTACTATCCTACCTTTGTGAGGAGTTGGTTTTATCTGGACAGATAACCAGCTGTCCACAGCTGAGACTGGTTCCTTCTCCCTTCCTGTCCCACAGTACTTGGTGTGGGACTTTTGTCCTACTTGAAAGACTGGCCCCTCTATGGTGCTTACCAATAAGAGGAAGAGAAATAAAGGTAGCAGGTATGTACCACCTTAATCTGTCCTTATTTTATAATAAGAGCCGGTCTGGAAGCTCCTAGAAAGCTTCTATTAGCTCCTATATAGCTAATTGATATATATCACACAGCCACTGCTAAACTGTAAGGGAGTTAGTCTATAGAGTTTTCATGCCCATTTTGCCAAATCCACAAAATGGGATTTCTAGATCCAAATAATCAGCATTTTCCAGGGATTTAAGAAAGGTGTTAAGAAAGGGAGAGTGGGTGTTGGATAAGCAGCCACAGTATCTGCCATAGTTTGAGTTATAGTTCATTGTTTCTATATAGCTGGTTGTTTTTCATTTTGTTTGGTTGGTTTACTAAAAAGCTGTAGATAATATAGTGGGTCCATGAGAACTTTTGAAAATTCTAGATTCTGGAGTCTCACCCTGCAAAATGCTGATTATTTAGATCTAGAATGGATCTATACATCTGTATTGTGAACTGAAATTCTGTTTTTGTTTTTATAAATTTTCATAGTAATCCCTACTCTCTTTTGTTTTAAAGATTTATTTTTGTGTGTACACAAGAACTGTGGTACAGGCCTGAGGTGTGGGCGTGAGAGGGTTCACCAGAGACAGAGTGGGGAGCAGAACAAGTAGATCTACTGAAATTAAGGGAAGCAGTAGTGAGACAGGAGAGGTCTGCTGTGCCATGCAGGTCACCTCCCTCGTTGGGGATCGAACTCGTGCTTCAGTGGCTGCAGATAGCTTCATAATGCTACACTCTAACCCTTTACGCCAGCAGGGAGGTCCCAATTCTGGATAATTTTAATGCAGGAGATAAAGGGACAACTTGAAAAATACCAACTTTGGGGCCTTTGGCAAAAACACCTTCATTTTATTTCCAGTGATTTATTTTTTAATGTTCTATTTTGCTCAACATAAAAAGTAGTCTTAAAAGTGTTAACTTCTAAAAGGTTTTTATTGAATCTATGCTGAACTGCTTCCCTAGAAACAACTGTTTTCAGCTGTTTTGCCTGTTTGTCTTGTACTTACTGCCGTGATCCCAAATACCATTTTAGTGCTGGTTATTTCTTTTTTGTTTTCCAGTTCTAGATAATGCTAACTTGGAGAATGAGTTAGCTCTCTTATATCTCCATTATTCTATTTTACCTTCACCTCCCTTTCTTTGCAAAGTTCCAATGTGATTATGACACCAGACAAGAGAGCAGGTCTCAAGTCCCTCAATCCAACCCCACTCTCCAACAATACAGGTAGATAAACTGGAAGCAAACTGGCCACTGGCCACTGGTCCACCCACTGGGGTCACAGGGGTGGGTTGAGGGGCCCCACTTCCAAACAGGGGAAAGGACTCCGGACACTCTCTGGTCAGGTCTGAAAAAAGACTTCACAGACACCAGAGAGGACAGGCAAGGAGTCAACAATTATTGATTAGTGAGACAGCAAAGTGGAGAACTCTGAGGGAGACCTCTCTGGGCATAGGAGAGACACCCCCCCCCCCTGGGTACCAGGGCGAGCAATCTACAAAGGTTTTAGGAATGGTGTTTGAGAACAAAGAGAGTAAACTTTATTGACCGAGAAAGCAAGGACAGTAGACTTGACTGAAGTCCATTATTACTGCGAATTGTGGGCACCCTCAGTCACATTTGGTACTGGTGCAGGGCTCCTACCCAGCTTTATGGGAGCACCCCATGGAGATGCCATTTGGAGGTGC